AGTTGCACATAAAAAAGCTGGCAGCAGGAGCAGGTTCACACTTTATAAGATTTCCTGATTCTAATGAGCTTTCTCTGCGTATGTTTATTAAACAGAGTCTGAACCTTTTGGTTCCCCAACTTAAAATTCTGCATCTTCATAGAGGCTCCAGATTTCTAACAAGCTCAACTCCTATCCTGATTTTCCATCACCTCTTCTCCCACAGTCTGAAACATACCGTGACTCTGGCACACCATACCCATATAAATGCCCATATACATTCCACCCACACACTGTGCCCTCCCGTCCAATACTGAGCTACCCAAGAAGGATTTCAAAAGACAACCTTTATGATAGGTCTCTCCACTTTCTGGTTTTTACCTTTAGGCATAGCTATATCTCCAAAACACATGGAAGGAATAAGCTACTGTCTGAATATAACTAGATAACCCAAAGAATCAGTTCAAAGTAAATAGTAAATGATTTTTAATTTTGATTCTGGAAATGTGACTCCATTTTCCGTGATTAGCCTGTGCCATGATGGGAGCTGCCTGACATTCTTTATATAGCATTATACAACCAAATGTCAAACAACTTCCTCCTCAATCTAATTTGTGATTCAAGAAAACATACATCAATATGTCAAGTGATTTCTGAGAGGAAAGAAATCATATACAAAAATAGTTTAGTTTGAAATTCTTTGCCAAGAAAGAAACAACATTTTAGGAATAATTTCAGAAAGGCCAAAGGTACTAAGTAAAATGGGAAGGGAAAGACAGAAATCCAGTTTTCTGAATCATAGATTGTCTCCTTTGATGATGTAGCAGGTGAATGGTCACAGAAGCTTCACATGTTATTTTCCCATCTCCTCTACAGGCTGCAAAAAGCTAGATTTTCCAGGATTATCCAGGGAGGAGGAATCTCCGGCCTCTTTTGAGAGTCTACTGGGGATCCAAGGAAGTGTAAGATCTCTGTCTGGACTGGTCCTAGTTAAAAGCATGTGACAGGCTCACTTATAGGTGGCACATTTGCGTCATTTGGATGCAGGTAACTGAATGGAGTGCTGCTGATTCATGTATGTGTATTAACAAAACACAACTATTTTCCAACACAGTTGATCTATGATCTTTGCTTCTGCCTTCTTCAGAGTTGACCTTTCTGAATCTAGTTCTACTGTTGTTTATGTTACATTGGTAACATCAAAGTAATGTCTAAGATTTCTTGATTCAAGAGCCTAACTTCTCCATTTACTGGGTGATCCCCCTAGTGCCTGAGTGTCTGCCGCCCACACCCCACATAGAATTTGGATGATTAGAAAAGAACCAGTGATTATAAGATTCATGAAGTTCATGCCCGTGAAACCCTCAGAGCTCTCACATGGTGAGTGCTCAGGGGATGTCAACTATCTGTTTCTCTTCTATGATCTCTACCACCATTTTGAATAAATGGGCTTATTGTTCTAGTGTTTAATCAGCTCTGTCTCATTTTGCTCATCATTTGTATAATGAGAGCCACCTATGCTATCGTTAATTCACTAGCAATAAAGACAGTGTTTTTAATTGTTTTAAAACAATGAGTTAAGTTTGTGTTTTGCTTAATAGCTCAATCAGCAACTGCTGTCCCCTTCACATGTAAACTTCCTGTTGAACATTATTGTTCAAGTGTGGCTGATGTTATATCAAAAGCCCAGGATACTGACAGGATAAGAGCTACAATGTAAGCGCCATCAGAGCAGGGACCAATCAAATTGAGTCCACCACTAGATCTCCTATATTAGTACAGGGCTTTGCCCATGGTAGGTTTTCAACAGCTACGTATTCAGTGAACATGCAAATGAATGGAGGGCAAGAACTGTGTATGCAATATTCCCCTGTGGTTAGGGCATGGCCACCCACAGGGAGAGAAAGTTGATTAACTGTGTCCATGAAAACGTGTCTGGTTCTGTCAACTGCTGAAGCGTGATGTATGTCCCTCAGACCCGGAGCCACATCTCAGGGAGTGACAGGGAACACAGGACAGGAAGTAGGAAAGCACCCATGATGTGGACATGGGCAGCAGCTGAGGAGCAAGGAAGCCAGGCAAGAGGCCAGGGAATTGTTAGTAGCTCCTTGAGACAGCAACAGAGGTAGTTATTAAAAGGTTTTGGATACTTGTCTGTTTTAAAGCTGCTTGAATTTTTTTGAGATTTCCTATTGCTCATCCATAGGTTATCTCTGTCAATGCTATGAGAATCACGCAGGAGTCCTGGAGCTGACCTTTGAACGAGATCTGGTAGGGAGGGAACCATGATGGGAAACAGCGAGAATGTTAGCAGAAGCCTCGGCAAGTTCAGCCACCCCTTCCTCCCCGTGGACTCCTTTGTCAGAGCTAGTCTCTGCCAAATCTTCCTGCTGCCTTTTGTTCAGATAATAAAGGGCTTCCCTATGCTTCTCTTTGACCAGGAAACACCTACAGGGAGGATTTCCACTTCTGACCGCCAGAGAGCACTGACCAGAATAACCCTCCCTGTCATGACTACAGAATTGTAGGTTGCACAAAATATTGGAAATCTACTTTTCAGACATTTGACAATGTGTCTGAAGACTGTAATCCAGGAGAAAGGGGAAACAATTAAGGGGAGCCCTACCTTGACCTTGGCTGGACCTCAGAGTCTGGCCATCTCACTAAGATGAAGAAGAGAAGCCTGGTGATAGGAGAAGCCGAGGTGATCAGGACTTGCAGGTCATAGTATCTGAGAAAATTCCAGCAAGGTGCATGGGGCTTCCTTTAAGTCTTCAGCTGAATACCACCCTGTAGATCTGTGGGCCCCAAGGGGCTGGAAAGAACAACTTCTGAGGGAAGAACTGTGGGGAGCAATCCGGACTAGACTGGGTTACTCGAATTAGGACTTATTCTATGCATCTGCTCTCCCACAATATGGCGCTGGGAGAGAAGTAAACAGCTTCCGCACAGCTGCCTCCAGTTCAACCAATTAACTGTAGGACTTGCTCCTGATTGGAGGAGAGCAGCGTACTCGGCGTGTGGGCAGCCGAGTTGGGATTGGCAGAGGAGGACTATAAAGGAGGAGAGAGACGGCATGCACCGGGAACATCTATGGGGAACATCTAAGGGAACCCGTGCAGCCCCCAGAGAGCCGGCCGGCGGTGTGCCGCTCCCCTGCGGAAGTGGGGAATGCGGCCAGGGGGAACTGCCCTTCCACGGAGGTGGAAGGGATAGTAGCCAACCCGGGAAGAACCAGCAGCAAACCCGGGGAGGGCCGAGCAGACGAAAGAACAGCGCAGGGTCCTGTGTTGTTCCTCCACGAAGAGGGGGAGCGACAAGAACCATGACCACAGCACACACAACCCTTCATTTCCATCAGAGAGGAGCAAGTACCCAGGGACTGACAGTCCCTGGGAGCTCTTTAACTCATTCCACTCAGTCAGAAACTTGCCTCAGTTCCAAAAAGCTGGAGGTGGAGGGAAGGACAGAGGAGGCTCGAATGAGGCAAGTCCTACAGAGGAATGAAGGGAGAGCTCTTCTAAGAGAGCCGACAAGCGATTCAGGGGGCCCGTGTGTGGTACAGCAGGATGGGCTGCTACTTATGACACTGGCACCCCGTATCAGAGTGCCTGTTCAAGTCCTGGCTGCTCTGCTTCCAATTCAGCTCCCTACTAATGTGCCTGGAAAGGTAGCAGAGAGTGGCCCAGATACGTGGGCCCCTGCCACCCAAGTGGGAGACCCAGATGGAGTTCCTGGCTTTAGCCTGGCCCAACCCTGGCTGCTGCAATGGAAGATTTCTTTCTCCCCTTCTCTGTCACTCTGGCTTTCAATAGATAAGTCTTTTTTTTTTTTAAAGAAAGACAAGTGATTTACACTCTTGGCATCTTTTTTTTTTTTTTAAGATTTATTTGAAAGGCAGAATTATATAGGGAGAAAAGTAGAGACAGCAAGCGACATCTTGAATCTGCTGTTCACTCCCCAAATGGCTGCAATAATGGGCTGGGCCAGGTCAAAGCCAGGGGCCAGGAGCTTCTTCTGGATCTCTAACAAGGGTGGTAGGGTCCCAGGGACTTGGGCCATTTTCTGCTGCTTTCCCAGGCGCATTAGCAGGGAGCTGGATCAGAAGGGGAACAGCCAGGACTCTAACCAGCATCCACATGGGGTGCCAGCACTGCAGGACGCAGCTTAGCCCACTGAGCCACAGTGCGGACCGCTACACTTGACATATTAAAGAAACACTATAATAGCTGATTGTCATCAACTAATGGCACTGAAGACTCGAAGGGATGCCTGTGGTTGTCTATTAAGTGCCCATGTTTAACACATACAGGTCACAAAGCAGGTCCTCACAGGGCAGTCATGGTGACCTCTATCCAGTAGAGGGCAGGAAAAGGGGCTGCTGTCCTTCTCCATGGGGGCTGTTTACAGAAGGGAAACCATCACATTGTGGGGGGCACATACTACTGGGCCTTGCACAGGAGGAAGAAAAAGGTTCTTCATTTGTGGAATTCCAGAAAGACAACTTTTCTATTGCCTTTCAGCAAATGATGATGACTGGTGACAACCTTGGGGCAGTGTGGACTCCCAGAAATGCTGGCTGTATGTGGCCAGGACTCTGCAGGGGTCTGCACGTTGCTCCCCACATTGCACTGGTCCTACGCCTGCAATTCCTGCCTCCTTAGATGAGGATGCCCAGTGACTCCACAGCCCTGATATCAAACTCTAAACAATTGTTTATGTGTGAACTAAACTCCAGAGGGAATCACATAACCAAGGGAGAACTCTGGAGACTGACAAAGAGAGGTGTTCTCTCCTGGATGCAATACAAAAGCAATTCTCTGATGAGATGGGCCGGCCGTGTTTATTGTTCTGTTGCTCAGACTCAATGCCTTTGGTCAACAAATAAGGCTTGAGACACCATGTTCCACCGTGTTCTTTAATCAATTGCCAGTCCCACTGAAAAATGCTCACACCATCTAATGTCACCGGCCCTCCCCGCACTCACTAGGTTTTTCATGAGAAAGAACATGATGGAATGCTTGTGAGTGACATGTGTTTTACTTTATTGAAATTCTTTCTTACAAAAGAGTATGAAGTATTTTAGGCCAGGCCTAATTTCCTTTAGTCCCTGAAATACAGGTCCATGGTCATTTCCATGTCCTCTTAAATAGGTATGTAAACTAGTAGACTGTTATTTTTAAAGTTAAGACACTTTTCAACATTGTTTTTATTTGATGTAAAACAAGACTTGTGGTTTCCCAAATGAAAAGACCAAGTAAGAAGGTTATGTGGTTTTCCGTAGGTGGGATAACTGGAGTCTGCCAGAAATGAGTTCAGAATTTATCTCATCCAATGTGACATCTTCCCACCTTTTGTATATATATTTTTAATGCAAATTTTGCAATGTGATGTCCTATGTAGTAAAGAGTGCTAAGTTTATATATGCATACATATATTAGCTCTGGAAAAAGATGCATGAGTACATGTGAGTTATGTAAACATAGCAATTGGTAAGAAGGAAAAATCTCTGATCATTAGGACATTAATGAGTACTAAGCATCCTGTAAGCAAAGAATGACCAAGAGCACATATTGGCTAAGCTGTCAGCTGGAAACGCTGGTGGTCCTACACCTGGAGGGGCCCGGGTCTCACTCTCCCCAGGCAGGCTGATGCTCACCTGATAGGACAGGTGGTTGTGTATCCAAGGCCTCAACATGAGTTTGTGATTCCTCCAAAGTGAGGTCAGTCTGTTCTCATTTGCTTCCACGTAGCTCCGCTAGAACTAGAACATACGAATGGCCCAGTTTGATCTCTTTGTGTGAAAAACAGGATATGATCTCCCGATCATAGGAGGGTGCAGATGTCCAGGATCTCTTATTATCCCCAGGGGTTATGGACAATCCTTCCTTCTGCGTCCACAGGATCCATCTGGACTTGTTTTTCTGAGCAAAGGATCATACCTCAAGTGACCCAGAAGGTACAGTATCATCACCATCAAACAATCAATTCTGAGTCACACATGACTTGGCTTTCACCCTGACTGCCAATCGACTGAACGCTGGGCTCCAGGTAACTCAGATAGCCCCTGAGACACTCTCCAAATCAGCTCTCCTCCTACATAGATGGTTGGCCTGGAAGCCAATCATGTCATCATGGACTCAACATGCTTTAACGTTTGCAATATGCAACTTTCTAGTCACACTTGCTTCATTCTCAAGCTTGTTACTCAGGCCTAGCACAGACACACAAAAGTCCCAGTGGGAACTTGGTCTCAGTCATTCTTAGTCTTCTGACTTGTAGGTCAGGAGAACAGACCATATGTGCACTACCTGGAGGTCAGGCCTTACCCAGGCTGATGTGCCTTGTTACAATGCAGCAAAGTAGATAAAATGATTTAGCACCCAAGATACTATTTAGCACACATGGTAGTCATTCGATCAATGCTAATCTCACTCTCCTTCTCCAAATCCAGCTGGATTTCTGCACATGGTTTGCATTTCCCTCTACCTCTTGCAGCTGGCTTCTCCTCTATGTCACTTTCCCAAACTAACAAATGGTGTGCAGAGGCAGAGTAAAGACAGGAAGATAAATCATGCAGTGTTGTCATTTGCTGGGAGGAAGATGTCAAAACTCCTGGCCCAACCGGGGTTTGAGAAGCATATGAAGAGTAAATCATCCATAATACCGCCTATCTCCACTGCTACATTTGACATTTGTTTTTTGACATCTTCTCAGCATTCATCTGCAATAGACCGAAGGAAACATAGATTTGAGACCCAGTGCTGGTATTCAGAAGGCTGGGAAAACTGGTGATCCAGTTGACCAGGGCTCCCCGTGCAGGAACACTGGTGGAAGGGAGAGACAGGCAGTAAATCCCAGAGATTACTTTGGAGTCCAGGAAGAGAGTGACGGCAGCCACCATGGTCCTGGGATAGTGGTGGAAGGGCTGGGGCGTGCTGGGCGAGGCAGGGCAGAGGCATGGTCGGGGTGGCCTCCAGCGATGCCCCCATCCTAGGCAGGCAGGCAGGAGGCTCCGGGCAGGGTCCCAACCTTGGAGCACGCTCACTTTCAGTGTCTGCTGCACGTCACCCCAGCATCTTCAGCGTGTCCACAGTTTGTCACCCCCCACTTGGAGAAGCTGCAGCGGAAGATGGAGTCCTCTGTGCCCCTGCAGGCCACGTCATCCATCCAGATCTTCCCGGTGCCTGTGGAGACAGGGCAACATGGTTTGTCAGCAGGTGCGCAGTGGGCAGGAGGCAGGAAGGAGAAGGAAAGGGAGCACCCCCGTGTCTCCCCTGGACCAGGGAGAGCTGCCCCTGGCTTCGCTGGCGCTTCGCAAGTCGGGTGGCTTCCATCTGCCTCCTCCACCCCATCGAGAATGCAAGCTTATTTCTAGGCTCAGTTTTGTTAGCAGACAGGGCCCCTTGTTCCAGGGCACGCTGTTAGTTATAAAAACGCTGGATTCAGCTGCTGAGAAAGGGAACATTTGGCCTGCAGTCACGTCGTCGAGGGCCAAATCAATCTCTCCACATAGACAGAGATTTGGGAATTTATGGAGTTAGGGTAAGCAGGGCAGAACTGGGTGAAACAAAGTGACAAGACATGATAGATGCCGAGGAAAGGGGTGGCGAATGTCCTCAGAACATACGCCTTGACAACTCATGTCCTTACACTCGCTGTATGTTCAAAGATGGCTACTGAAAGGTCACTGGCGGTGTATCACTTTAAGAACTCTGGTCGGTCTGGGTTGGTGTGCATAGGTGCCAATTACAAGGCTGGCTGTGGCTGGTTCTGTCCAGTTTTATCAGAGACTGTGGAAAGACAACTTAGCAGATTTTTGTTTCTTTTGGCCAAAGCAACTATTATGGGATGGCAAGTTACTATGCAAGAGGTAAGCAATGAATTATTATGGACTGTTCATATGTTAGGCAGCCACAGGAAGCTTGCTGTTACAAGGGGAGGGGAGTCCCACGTTGTTTGTGGTTTCAGGCTTTTGAGGAGAGAAGAGCAATAGGCGATGGCGCGGATGGTGGTATTCATGATCTTCCACAGGCATCACATACACGCTCTGCTCAGTGCTCACCATGGTGCTGTGAGGTCGGTAGTAATAAACCCATCTTACAGGTGGGAAACCAAGGCTCAGAGAACAATCGATGCAAGGTCACTCGGCTTTTACATGGCAGACTCTGGCCTCAAACCCAAGACTTGCTGCTTCCCAGGCTCACCCTTCGGAAGACACATCACACAGCCTTCGTTGTGACACTGCAGCCTTGGTTGACGAATAGTCAGGCAGAGACCAATCAGAGGGACAGAGTCAGCCAGCTCCTGGGTCCCCCGGTGCCCTGGAGCCAAGTATGTCAATGCCAACATCGCTTCCGATCTTGTGAGGCTTACCGTAGATGGTGCCATTCTATGAGCCCAAAAGAGTAGTGCAGGAACAGCAAGGGGGCCCTGCATTTAAAGGTATGGTCAGATGCACATATAAGGATATGCAGGAGCAGCCCTCACCTGTAAGGATTTGCCTTCTAAAAGTGCCTGGAGAAACAGAATTACAAGATAAGCTGAATTCCCCATGAACTTTCTGAAGTCCCTCATACAAGTTCCCTTCGTCAATCTGTTTGGCAGCTTTGCCTGCAACCAGCCCTGTTCATTCAGCTCTCGGAAGGACCAAGCCACTGGACTGGGGGGGCGCTGGTGCTTTGGTTGGCTCTCCCAAGGCTATCTCTGAGTCTTGAATAGTGTATACTTGACACTGAGTTTCCTTCATGAATGTCAGGGGAATAGGGCAATAGGACCAGGCTCCATGAATGAATGGGGAGGGCCTGTCTGGCATCAGAGGGGACAGTGGAAAGGGGAGTGGGCTCCACAGAAGTCTCACCCGATGGACTGGTGGGATCATAACTCACGGTACTGGTGGGTTCTCGCAGCTGATGACTGTGCTGGGTCCTGATGGTGGGAACCCATTTGGGAGCTGTCTGGAAGGGTGATTGAACTTCAGGGTTGCCATAGAAGCAGAGGTAAAGCTTCACTACCCAGTGAAGTCCTGGACCCATCGCCAGGAGCTTATTAGAGGTGGGGGGCCCTGGGTCCGCCCAGAGCCCTGTTGAGCCCGAATCTGCATTTTAACAAAGAGGCTCTGCATCACAGCCAGGGAGGCACCGAGGCAGCAGAGGCAGAAGCAGGCTGGGCAGTAGGACATGCCCTGACTCAAGCATCGGCACCATTAGGGGCGCCCATTCAGTTTTCAAACTGGGAGGGACTTCCCAGAGGGTGGGCTTTTCTTTCATTTGTTTTTTAAGATATTTTATACCATTATATTTATTTTATTGTATTTGCTTTAAAGATTTATTTATTTATTTGGAAGGCAGAGTTACACACACACACACAGAAGTGGAGAGAGATCTCCCACCCCTGGTTTACTCCCCCAAACAGCGACCAGTGCTAGAGCTGGGCCAGGCTGAATCCAAGAACCTGTATCTCATCCAGGTCTCCCACATGGGTGGTAGGGGCCCAAGTACTCAGGCCATCTTCTGCTGCCTCCCTAGGCACATTAGCAGGGAGCTGGATGGGAAGTAAATTAGCCAGGATTTGAATCCACACCCAGTATGGGATGCTGGCATGGCAGCCAGCACCCTACAATGCTGACACCAGAATGTGGACTTTTAATGCTAAAAGCTGGTAAATTCTGGCCAAAGCAGGATGGCTCTTGGTCACTTGTTAGGTCCAAGACTCTGCACCAAAATGCACAGGGTTCAAGGTAATAAACTGGGCTCCAAATGGCCACAGTGGCTAAGGATGGCCCAGGCCAGGCCAAAGCCGGGAGCCTAGACCTCTATTCAGGTCTCCCACACGGGTGCGGGGACCCAAGCACTGGGTCATCTTTTGCTGCTTTCCCAGGCTGTATCAGGAGCTGGATTGGAAGTGGAGCAGCCAGGACTCGAACCAGTGCCCATATGGGATGCTGGCATTGCAGGTAACAGCTTAACCCACTGTGCTACAACCCTGACAGCTACAGTCTTATGCTCTGTTACTCTTGAACTGCATACCAAGAATGTCAAGAGGACATCTAAACCATCTCACTGCTAAGCCACAGCTTGAACTAAGTGGTTCAGACATGTGTTTGTTATGCAGAGATTTTCAGCATCTGCTGCCACGGGATTGCTGCACAGTGGATCCGGGGACAGAGCAGGGAGGGGAGGCCTCCTTCCGCCATCCTCTTGGATGCTGTCTCAGCACCAGAGCTCTTCCTGGCCTGGGGAGCTGTGGCCCTTACACAATAAGCCCTTTGAGCAGAGCAATAATTTGCAGATTAAACATCTCCTGGAAAACACATCAGTTTACAAATTACCCAGGAAAAGGCCGCAGGCCCAAGAGCTCTGTGGGATTAGTCACACCCAAAGCAAATAAAGAAGCAAATGAAAGAAACTGACAAATAGAGAACAGGCCGGAGGCTCCCTAGCCCAAACATATACATAGGATCTCAAAACTCCAAACTCTGTGGCGTTTTGCTAGGGAGTTCTGGCTAATGTCCAGTCATGGGAAGAAGATCACCACATGAGTGGCATTGGGTATTCACAGCTCTGGCAACTGTGTGGGCATCACGGAAAGGCTAGGCACCCAGCGAGCCGGGGCTGCTCCTCACGCCTCATCCAACACTGACTGTGGTTATTAACCATGACATTCGCTTTAGAACTGACAGGTGAGTACTGCAGGTGTGGGGCCTGGACCTGGAGTGTAGACATTGCCTGGGAGCTTGTTAGCAATGCAGCCCACCCAGCGTTGTGGTCTAGCGGGTTAAGCCACTGTCTGCGATGCCAGCATTGCCTATGGGTGCTGGTTCGAGTCTCAGCTGCTCCACTTCTGATCTGGCTCCCTGCTATTGTGCCTGGGAAAGCAGTGGAAGATGACCCAAGTGCTTGAGCTCCTGCACCCACGTGAGAGACCCAGATGGAGTTCCAAGCTCCTGGCTTTAGCTTGGCCCAGCCTAAGGGGTGAACCAGCAGATGGAAGATCATTTGGTCTCTCTCTAACTCTGCCTTTTAAATAAATAAATAAAGTATTTTTAAAAAAGAAACGCAATCCAAGGTGTCATCGACTCGTTCATGTCAGGGAAGCCCTACTCTAGGTTTGCATTTCCGCACCAGCTCTCTCTCTGGATCTACAAGCAGAGCCTGATCAGGTAAGCAGGGGAGAACACGTGCTCCCCGTTTTCCAAATGAGAAAAATAAGCCAAGGTTGTCCTTGCTCTTAAGGAGACCAAGCCGGAACTAAGGCCCAGGTGGGCTGACACAGCACCAGGCACCATTCAAAGGTGATGCTGTTTGGAAGGATGAGGGGAGATTTTAGTTTGTGCGTATCATTCATTCATTCAGCAAAGATCTGAAGGCCCGCTCTGTGCTCAGTGCCATTCTGGGTATTTGGAATACATCACTGAGCAAAACAACAAAAGCAAAAATTCTCTGCCTCACTGAGCGAACATTGGAGCTTCTCTGTGTTTATGCAGAGTGATACTAAGAGTTGGAATAAGTTATACTGCATCCCACAGGCTTCCATCCGGGCCTCACAAAGAAGGCAGGGCAGTTATTTAATAGGCATTTAAGAGAGCAAGACTGAGGCCCCCGCAAGATGGAAGGACTTGTCCTTGGTCCTGTTACTATCAAGGGGCAGAGAATAAGACTCAGGCCGGACTCTCAGTCCGTGCAGTGTCATGCTCCTAGAACCACAGTTCCCAGCACATAAGACCACGCCAGGGAGTGGCATACCACGGGCCAACGCCTAGTTTTGTAAATAAAAGTTTGATTGGAACACAGCCCCACCTGTCGGATTCAATATCGTCCCTGATTGCTTTCTTGCCACCACTGCAGAACTGAGCAGTTCTAACAGAGACCGTCTGATCCCAAAAGCTTAAAATACTGACTCTCTAGCCTCCCACAGGAAATGTCGGCTGACGCTTGCACTCATCAGTCTCCCAGTATTCGTAGCTTATCTTCGAAAGAGCAAAAAATGGTTAGAAGAATGCAACTAGAAGTGAACCTTCCAAATTCCACCCACTCACTCCCACCTACAAAGCTCTGACTGAACCCTCCCTTCTCTCCTTTACCATCATCTGTCTCCCGGGGACTTTCCCTACTGGTCCCAGGCACTCCCTGTTGTGCTAGATCCCACCCTTCTGCTTCCTCAAAACCTAGTCCAGCCAGCACCTCTCTGCCTTTGCCACTCACATCTCTCCTTCTCCACTTCCTCCTGGACTATTTAAAGTCTCTCCATTTGGACCGTTCCATAATTTTCCCCAGGGAAACCGATAATTTGATTACTAAGCCCTGTCCAAGAAACATTTTATGGTGCCAGAGCACTGGGAGAAGTGCCAGGGACCGGAGACCTCTTCTATTACACTGGGGAGGGCCCAGATGGGGCGGGCTCTGGGATTCCTCCCTCTCTCCCAGGGTTATTCGGTGCCTATTATGCCCCAGGCACTGTTCTGGGTTTTGGAACTTTAAAGGTAAAGCCCTCAAGAGGCTCACACAAACGAGTGTAGCCAAGACCGGGAGAACACGAGAGGTCCTAGGATACGGATGCACACACAAAGGGACACAGGAATATGGAGTAAGGGGCACGTACGTCATGGAGTGAAGGATGGAGGGGGCCAAAAAAATCTCCCCTCGGAAGACGATAGCTGAGCTGACTTTAAAAACCGAGCAGGAGGGGCCTGCATTGTTGATGCAGAGGGTTAAGCAGCTGACTGTGGCGCTGGCATCCCACATGAGTGCTGGTTCGAGTCCCGGCTGCTCCACTTCCGATCTAGCGCCCTGCTAATGGCCTGGGAAAGTCACAGAAGATGGTTCAAATCCTTGGGTCCCTGTCACCCATGTGGAAGACCTGGATGGAGTTCCAGGCTCCTGGCTTGACCTGGCCCACCCCTGGCTGTTGTGGTCATTTGGGAAGTGAACCAGTGGATGGAAGACCTCTCTCTGTCTCTACCTCTCTCTCTGTCAATGTGCCTTTCAAATACATAAAAATCCTTAAAGACATGTAAAATATGAGCTGAGTAGGAATTCACTAGTTGAAGGAGCAAATACCTTGCAGACAGGAGGAGCAGCACGCAAGAGGGCCCAGTAACACAGAGCAGCGGTCCGTGCGCTCCCAGCCATGGGCAGTCACCTGTGATGCAAGGCTAGCAGGACAGGTGGGAGGCGTGCAGGGGGTAGACTGAGCAGGGTTTCAGGTAATAAAGCTACGGAAGCCAAATTCGATCTTGAGGGCAACAAAGCTCCATGGAAGATCCAAACAGGAAATGATGGCTCTGGCGCTGTGGCACAATGGGTAGAGCCACCACCTGTGATGTCAGCATCCCACATGGGCTCTGGTTTGAGACCCGGCTGCTCCACTTCCAATCCAGCTCTCTGCTATGGCCCGGGAAAGCAGTGGAGGATGGCCCAAGTCCTTGGGATCCTGCACCCACGTGGGAGACACGGAGGAAGCTCCTGGCTCCTGGCTTTAGAGTGGTGCAGCTCTGGCCATTGCGGCCATTTGGGAAGCAAACTTGTGCATGGACGATCCCTCCCTCCCTTCCACCCTTCCTCCCTTCCTCCCTCCCTTTCCTCCTCCTTCCCTCCCTCCCTCCTTCCCCCGCCCTGTGTCTCTCTGTCTCTCCCTCTCTCTCTGTAACTCTTTCAAAGCCATTCCTAGGCTGTTTGCAACCCCTATAGGCGGAACCTCTCAGGTGAGGACGAGGCTTCCTCAGCTCTGTGCTCCTAGCCGGCACCTGGCCCGTGAAAGGTGTCCAGAAACCGCTATGGAACGAGGAAAGAGCCGGTGAGGAGTGCAGCCTGGGCTGGCAGAAAGGGCCCCAGCAAGCCTCAGCTATGCCCCCTCCTCCGCCCTCCCCAGGCCTTGCTTCCCTCTGTGCACCCATCAGGGACAGCGGGCCTGCGGCAGTCACGGCCTTGAATGGCACGTGACATGCGTTCCTGCACTATGGTGAAGACTACGGAACAGACCTGCTGCCTCGGGGGAGCAGTCCGGCTGCTGTTTGGTGCGGAGACCTCACTGGCGAGTTCAGAGCTTTCACACGTGTGTTACGTGGTACGAAAACCAGGGGGAACGAGCAGGCCCGGCGGGCCCAGCCCTTCTCACCAACCTGCGGGTTTTGGCTAACACTACCCATGACTGCAAACTACCTATTTTGGCTTCTTGGAAACAGTTTATGATTCTTTTTTTCGTAAAATGGTTTCACACCCACTTATTGGGAAGACGTCCTCATTAGAACCCGCCATGGAAAAGTGAGGGCTGTTTCGGCTTCCCCTGGGGAAACAGTGGGTTTCTTCAAAGAAAACAGCCCCAGCCTGTGGGAGGAAGTGCTCTCTCCTGGTGGGTGCTGGGCCCATGGGAACTCCCAGCGTGCTCCAGGCGTGGGATATGTGGAAGGCGAGCAGCACTCTCTGGCAGCTGTCTCAACAGATTGCACCGGGAGTCACTTTCAGCCGACGTGACCGGGGTGTAGGGGATGCAGTTCTGAGCTAGACCGTGGCATCCATCATGGGAATGAGGAGGAAGGGGCCTGGGGGGAGTGGAGCGTCCTTGGACAGCTGCACGTGACCTGGCTCTGTTTCCCTGGCTGCAAACAACACGGTGGCCCTCACACAGTCCCATGAGTCCTTGGAGTCATTTAGTGAGGGAGCTGGACGGTTATGGCCTTGGGGAAGACCCCTGGCTTGCCCAGCCCTTGAGCCCAGGAGTCCCTGCAGCTGCTGTCCCCAGGTCTCCAGGGGTCTCAGCGACTGAGAGTGGGAGTTCCTGCCTGCACCCACCAGAACGCAGGTGCTCTTGTGGGGTGAGCAGCAGCACCCCGCACCCCAGGGAGCCAGGGCCTGCACACCCCTTTAGCGACAGGCGAGGACTCCAGCATGCAACAGAGAAGCGACAGGTGCAGATCACGTGGCTAATGGCAGCCCACTATTTGGGCTGTGAGTCCACATGGGTCTGTCCATGTTCGAGGTCAGACAGAGGAGAAAGCAGGCACGAATGTGCATTTGTGTAGCTGAGTGTGGGTGTGGGGCTGTGCTGGGGAGGGCAGTGAGGGCTCCTTGTTGTCTTTGTGCAAATCTCTGCATCAGCCTGGGTGGTGGCTGCAACTGACTACGTGTTTGTGTCGCCCCAAAACGCATGGATGGAAACCCTAATCCCAGTGTGACGGCATCCAGAGGTGGGATTTTGGCAGGTGATTAGACCCTGAGGGTAGGGCCCTCAGGAATGTGATTAGCACCCGTATAGGAAAGCCTCCAGAGAGCCTGCTTGCCCCCTTCCTGCTGTCTATGAATTAGGAAGAGGTCCTCAGCAGATGCCAAATCGGCCGGGGCCTTGATCTTGAACTTCCCAGCCTCCAGCACCCTGAGCAGGACAGGGAGATTGGAGCTGCCCCGTCTGTGCTCTTGCTCATGGCTGCCCTGGTGGAAGAACCCTGAGAACTGGCTGAGAGACACACCCGGGGGCGAACAGAGACGGCAGCAGGGACAGGGCCGTCCTGCACACAGCAGGAAACGGACCAACGGTTCAGATCAGCTGCCGACCTGGGCAGTCTGTGCACCTCCCGGTCTGCAGGGCGGCAGAGGGGCTCAGCAGTTCCAAAAGGAAAGCAAGCCGGGGGGAAGGCTTCTGACACCTCGTCCTATGAAGACAAAATGAAACCTCTAGGGACAAACAGACTCTGGGAGCCCAGCATCCTGGTTCAGAGCACTGGCTCCTGAGCCCAGCCTGCACCTGAACCCAGGCTCTGCTCTCGGCCAGCTGTGTGACACCGGGCAGGTTGCTCCACAGGTTGCTCTGTGCTTCTGTTTCCTCATTTGGAAAAGGGTAGTGAGCGCTGTATCTCCTGGGTGCTCTAAGGATTGAGTGACTATTCACAACACACTTAACAATAGCCTGGCACACAGGGAGTGCTTTAAAACGTTAAGTAAGCAAGGTGACAGAGATAAGAGAGCAAATTAGAGAGATCGGACGAGCCGTCCAGCAGGGGAGAGCCTGGTTACGTACCTGGAACTCAGCAGTGGTACAAGAGCCAGGAGGGAAACCAGGGGAGGACAGAGTGAGGTTTAGGGAAAGGAAGAATGTTCTAACAATCAGGGCTGTCTGAAGACGCCCCAGCCACAGATCTGGGGAAGCCGTGAGTTCTACCGCCTGGGGACACTCGGTAGCATCACGGTCATGGGACAGGGGCTTTGGAGAGGAGCGCAGTTCTGGAATGAGAGCCATCTCCCCACGTCCTGTTTCGGGGGGCATTACCTTGGCCGAAGCGAGCTGTCCGGTACACCTCCTCCGCGCCGCGGAAGCCCAGCATGCGGCAGGCCACGTCGCCGTCCTTCCGGTCCCAGCCGTCGTCGCACACGGTGCCCCAGCGCCGGTCGTGGTACACCTCCACGCGGCCCTCGTGCGGGCCCGAGCCGTTCACCAGGCGGATCATCGCAGCCTCCACGCCACCTGCGGGGCAGTCGCTGTTACTGCAGGGCTCTGCACAGAGCCCGCCGCGGCGCCTCCTCTCCGTCCCCTCTGCTCCACACAGGGAAGAGGGGGCCGGGCCCCAGAGATCATGGTGAACTACTCTTGCCCCGTCAGCCTTCTCCCCACCTCTCTCCGTATTTACACTTCATGTATTTATTTGAGAGGCGGAGATATGAAGGCAGAGAGAGAGAGAGAATGCCCATCCGCTGATTCACTCCCCAGACACCTGCAGGGCTGCGCTGGGTCCGAGCTAAGAGCCAGGAGCTCAGTCCAGACCTCCCACATGGGCAGCAGGGAGCTGGTACTTGAGCCATCTTTGCTGCCTCCCAGGGTGTGCATTAGCAGGAAGCAGGAGCCGAGCTGGAGCCGGGGATCAGGCCCGGATACCCCACTGCGGGGTGTGGGCACCTTAGCTAGCACCTTAACCATCTGGCCAAACTCCCGCCCTCTTTTTCCATAGACTTTTAAAAAGAGCTGTGTTGGGTGTGCTGTAGAGTTGTTTGGGAAGTAGAGATCAATACATGCTCCCCTCCTGCACACGCACAGCACCCCTCACTGTCAACCTCCTCTATCAGAGCCATGCGTTTGCTTATAATTGACGACGCCACATTGACCACCACTTTCACCCAGGTCCAGAGTTCACACTGGGGCTCACTCTTGGTTACTGTACAAATGTACAAGGACACGGAGCCACCAGCCCCGTATCAGAGCAGCTTCGCTGCCCCCAGGTCCCCTGTGTCCACCTAGTCATCACCCCTCACCGACAGCTGCTGCTTGTTTTTTGACTGTTGTCACAGTTTTGCCTTTTCCAGAAGCTAGATAGGCCCATTCCTTTCACAATGCGCATTTCTTCCATGTCTTCTCTTGGCTTGAGGGCTCAGTTCTCTTTAGTGCTGATTACCAGCCTATCGTTTGGCTGCAGCACGATTTAGCCCCTCATCTGCTGAAGACGTCTCAATGGCTGCCACGTTTGGACAATTACAAGCAAAGCCGCTACAGACACCTGTGTGCAGACAGGCGGTTTCAGCTCCCCTGAGTTAGTATCAAAGAACGTGATTGACGGATTTCTCCCCAGCATTTGGGACCTGGCCACCAGCAGCCACGCCTGCCGGGAAGGAGAGCGCAGCAGGGACAGAGAAAAGCAAGGGGTGGGCCGGGCTTGCTTAGCGGCAGCCTTGCTCAAGGCTCAGTCGGTGGAGAGGCCCCTGAGAAGTGTCCCAGCTCGGAATTTGTCATTCACATCTATTTCCCACCGGGCTGTGGGCCTGACCGTGCTGGAGGCCGGACGGACCTGGCTAGAAATGTTCAGTATCCGAGACAGACAACAGCTCCGCAGATCGAAAACGTCCCTCTTTGAAAGGCACATCGCTCTTTTACACGCCACTGAGAAGGAAAGATCTCTGCCAGTTCTGGCGGCAGGTTACGTTCATTGCTGGAAGCTTCCTGAGTTCAGAGATGTTAGACTGTGTCATGGAATCAAAGCAGTGCACTAACATAAAGACGATGTGGACCTGGCTCCCCGGAGGCTCTCCATTCTTTCTACCCGCCAGTCTCAGCCTCTCTGAGGCCTTTCCTCAGCTGTGACACGGGGACAACCCCTACTGCACCGGGCTGTTGTGCAGATGCGATGACGTGACACACGCAAGGCTCTGGGAACAGGGCAGGGCCTTGTGCACCCTGGCTCACTCCTCCCCTTCTACTTGCTGAATCCCTACGTCACTATTTGGTAGAGAGGCTGGTTGGAAGAAACCCTTAGGTTCGCAGCTTGAATGTGGCATGAATGGCTGAGGGGTCACTGTTTTGCATGACAAAACATTGCATTCCTCAGGAATTCTGGGGATTCAGAGACACCAGGGCAATTGAAAGAAGCAGTCAGATGATGGCAAAGGCTGGGTTAGGCTGAGAGGGTCTTAGTCCCAGGGCAATACACAGTTAGCACCAGAGCTGGGTTACTTGGGTCTCTACTGTGTCTTTGTTTTTAAGATTTATTTATTTAGGAAGCAGAGTGACAGAGAGAGAGAGAGAGAGAGAGAGAGGGAGAGAGAGAGAAACAGAGAGGGACCTTCCATGGGCTGGTTCACTCCCCAGATGGCCACAACAGTCTGTGCTGGGAAAGGCTGGAGCCAGGAGCTTCATGTGGGTCTCCCATGTGGGTGCAAGGGCCGAAGCACTTGGGCCATCTTCAGCTGCTTTCCCAGGTGCATTAGCAGGGAGCTGGATTGGAAGTGGAGCCGCCAGGATTTGAATAAGCATCCATACGGGATGCCGGCATCACAGGCAGCGGCTTTATCCACTGTGCCACACTGCCAGCCCCTCTGGTGTGTCTCTGCATAACCTCTGCCATCCTGCCTGATCTGCTATTCGTGGGAGGCTATTTCACTCCTAGGGGCCTGAGCACCCTCCAATGATAAGGAATTGGGGTGGTCAGTGGGTCCTAAGTCTGGCCACATATCAACGTCACTAGGAGTGACTATTAAAATGCAGATTCCTGGGCCAACTCACACCTACTGAATCAGAGTCTTGGTGGCAGGAGTCAGGCCATCTGCAATTTTCCCAAGTGTCCCAAATGAATCAGAGGTAAATGGCCCATGGACTAGCATCTGGGAGCTAGATAATTGGAAAGGTTGCCTTCGAGCTCCAACATTCAGTTCCTGATTCCAAGGCCAAGGAAGAGGTCAAGGTCATTTTTTTTTCTAGTCAGAAACTGGGCCTGGGGGGGTGGGAGTGGGGGTGGAGGGACATGGATAGTGTAAGGTATTAAGTGAGTGACATGTAGGAAAACCCCTAAGTGAACTTCAAAGGAAACAGCGACCCCAATCACGTGCTGCTACCAGAGGTACTGGGCACTTCGATTTTGCTTTTTTGGCATGGTAAGCTTCAGGAATCTCCCTTAGAGTGGCTGTGGCTGGCAAAGACCTTTGTAGGCCCCTGAAGGAGACAGCAGGATTGACAAATCCACATCTGAGCCACATGGGACAAAGGGGACTCACAACTGGCCGTGCGTGCACCTGTTCCCTGCTACCCCGGCTGGGGAAACCTCCGAATGTTCTATGCTAGGGAGCCAAGGGAGCACCAACAGACCACACCATCCCCAAGACGCTGAACGATCATCTGGTGGGGCTGGTGCTATGGTGCAGTAGGATAAGCCGCCACCTGCGGAATCCCGTATGAGCGCTGGTTCTAGTCCTGGCTACTCCACTTCTGATCCAGCTCTCTGCTATGGCCTGGGAAAGCAGTAGAAGATGGCCCAAGTCCTTGGGCCTCTGCACTCGTGTCGGAGACTGGGAAGAGGCTCCTGGCTCCTGACTTCAGACGGGCTCAGTCCCAGCTGTTGCAGCCATTTGGGGAGTAAACCAGCGGATGGAAGACCTCTCTCTCTTCTCTCCCTCTCTCTGTCTGTAAGTCTGCCTCTCAAATCAATCAATAAATCTTTAAAAAAAGAAGAGAGAAAGAAAGAGAGAGAGAGAGCGCTCTGCATGGATCCTCTCAGTTTTTCATGCATTTGCCAGGTAGTCTTCGTCCCTGCCAGGCACCCCTTCCCCCCAGTCGGTCACTGAACCCACAAGCTTGGCCGACTGTCCAGAAAAGGTGGGAGGAGCTGAGGATGTGCAAGGAAACATGGAAACCCTGGAGCAGAACCCAGGGAGAGAAGCTGGATCCAGAAGCTCCCCCAGGGGGCAGTATTGACCTGCTAACTTGGAGCCAGCAGCACCAAATGAGGCCAGGCACCTATCCAATCAGGCCCTGGGGTTGCGGGGGCTGAAGTGGTGGCCCTGGCTTCTGTCAGTACCATGTCACCAGGCTGTGAGCTGTGCCACGCCATGAGGCCTAGAACAGACTGATAAGTTGAGTGAGCTGGGACAGGAGGGTGCTGTGCACCCTGGAGCAGGCCAGGCAGGGTGCATGGTACTGCGTCAGACTAACAAGCAGAGGTCAGGCATGCTGGGGCTGCTGGCATTGACAGTCAGAGTCGCTCCGACTCAGCGCCTCTGCCCTGGCCAGCCTCAACTCACTCTGTGCACTTATTCCTTTAGCTGAAACAGTGATTCGGAGTGCTTCTGGCTCAAATATTAGCGTGGACATTGAGTGTCCCCAAAAGGCCCATGTGTCAAAGACTTGGTCCCCAAAGTCTTCTTTTTTAAAAAATGTATTTGAAAGTCAGAGTTACACAGAGAGAGAAGGAGAGGCAGAGAGAGAGAGAGGTCTTCCATCTGCTGGTTCACTCCCAAGATGGCCACAACGGCCAGAGCTGTGCCAATCCGAAGCCAGGAGCCAGGAGCTTCCTCCAGGCCTCCCATGCGGGCTCAGGGGCCAAAACACTTGGGCCATCTTCTACTGCTTTCCCAGGCCATAGTAGAGAGCTGGCTCAGAAGTGGAGCAGCTGAGACTCCAACTGGCACTCACATGGGATGCCAGCACTGAAGGCGGCGGCCCTACCTGCTACACCACAGCACTGGCCCCGCCCCAAAGTCTTCCATCGATGGCAGCAACAGGGTAGAAACTGAATCCAATGCTGCTGTTTAGAGGTGGGGCCTTTGGGAAGCGATTAGGCTGTTAGAGCGAAGCCCCCACGATCAAATCCTGGGACATAGACAGAGCTCAAGAGGAACATCCACTCCCAGGGCACCCACTTATGACGTCACGGCCTCTTCTATCCCCTTGTCCACTGGCTTCTTTCTATGAGATGGATCTGGGTTTTAGACCCAGAGCTCAGTCTACTGGGACAACGGCCACACGTGCCACATGAGAAAGCAGGGATGTGGTCTGTCATCTGATTATGGCGGGTGCCGGAGGAAGTCTGGAAAATATCATTTGGCTGCTAGAATACTGCAACTCCCAGGAGGTTTCAATATATAGGGAAGTGACAAGAGAATAGTTGCAAATAAGACAACTTCAAAAATTTGGCAACATATGGTAACCTTAATGACAGGGCTCACGGCATCCATTTCCGGCTGTCTTTGGCCCATGGCCCATGGCCC